AAATTTGTTTCTCGAAATCTATTTCTCGAAAGTAAAAAGTTCCCGCATTTGTATGAGGGGTAAGCGAGAACGGAATGGCAATAAGAAAATTGACGGCAGCGCCTTTTCGAATAAAACATTATAATATAAAAGGCTGGAAATTCTTGACGTATTCGGAGATGCTGAGTTTGATTAGCCAAACTTGTCATCCGTAGAATTCGATCACGTGAGGTAGCTCGTTAAATTTTATGCATCGATGAGCTGATGCTAACTCGAGGGTTACCCTGCCAGTCATATGAACGCTCGACGACGATTTCTCAACCCATTACTGAATAATATTTCGCAAGGGTGAAAGTAACGCGCCGTATATCGTTAAAAAAAATAAGACAGAAAAGACTCGAAGAAGTAATTCGATGATGACGTCTCTATTGAATGAAACAAAAATTTATTTACAGGTTCACCTTCAATTTGGACAAATTGAACAAATACAAAGCATAGTTGACGAAATTGAAGAATATTGGAGGATATAGACATAATTTGAAGAATACAGAGTATCTTCGAAACTGAGTTCACGGATAAGTCAAGCCATCGGCGGAGTTTAGGTTAGATTTAGATTAGGTTTAGATTAGGTTTTACTATATAAAATCAAACTTCCATATTCGCGACTATTGCAAATTACTCAAATCATAAAATCTTCGAAATTCCTCCGTCTACAAAAAATAACTATTAATATATTTTATTATTACTCCTTCTGTACTAAACGATTTTTGTTAGCATAGTTTGTTGACATCTTCAAAAGATATTTAAAAGTTATTCGAGGTGATTGTCAATGTATCGAAATTTGAAATATTTGAAGGAAACAAAAGATTTCAAACATCCTATAAGCGATAATTTATTTGTTCCTTATATTTGTTCATTGGAAAATATAAGTAGACAAATCAGTGATGTAAGAAGCATCATTAATATTTTACAAATGACCTTAATTAAATTAATAATTTAATTAATTAATAATTTAATTGGGTTCCATGAAATCTCTATAATCTTTCTTTTTCTATTTAAAGTTTGTCTCACGAGAATGTTCGAACAATTTATAAAAACTTTTTATTAATATCATTATGGGAAGCATTTTGACATTTTATTAATAATGAGAGCCGATTATGACGATTCTATTGAGTTTGAAACAAATCTAAATTTAATCTAATGAAAATTAGAAAATGTTCAGTACTATTAAGATATATATTTCGCTGAAATTATAGAAATATTGAAACAGCTGCAATCTACTGTATCAGTAAATCTTAATATTTAATCGTTAATTTTAGGACCATAATTAACACATATTACGCTTGAAAGAATTATTTATGCTATATACTAATTTTTGATTAAATATGTATAAAATATTTTGTAATTTCTATACGTTTCGGTATTGGCTTCAAATTAATATAATTAATATATTACAATTATTAATATAATTATATATTACAATATAACAATCGTGTCTCATTACAGTGTTGATGAAATTTCAAAATATTCGAACACACTCGTGAGTACTTGACTAAGTGTAAAAAAAAAAAAAAATCGGAAATTCGACTAATGAGTTCAATTTTATTTTTTAAAGATTATATTAGGCGCAGAAATTAACTCTTAGTAAATTGCTGAAAGAGACAATATATACTCTTCAACTTTCAATTTTCAAAAAATTTTCAACAATAATTTATACGTATGTGACTAAGAACGTTTCGACATAGAATTCAACAAGAACAATTAAAAATAAAAAATTCCCCTCAAGGCCAGAAATGAACAAGTGACGAATTTATCTAAAAAAAAAAAAAAAAAAAATAAGAAAAAGGAAACGCGACATCGAATCAATTTCTACACTTATTGCAATAACAAAAGTCAATTCACTAAAGAAAGTTTTGCACGTGTGCACTGTGATGTTGTCAAATCTAAAATTCTGCCCGACGATCACGTCGCTATCCGCGTTTACTGGTTGACGTACCAATCGAGATGAGGCTTTGCAGGCTTTGCTTGATACTGGATAATTTTCCTCATGATTTTGGCAACTGGGAGCACGGTCCAGCCGAGCCTCACGAAGTGCTCGTTCGATAATTGGTACTCGATCGAGCTTCGATCGTCTGTAACGTAGAAATTTCACGAGAATGCCAAACTCGCCACTCTGTACACAGGTAAACCACATTATTTGGATGCGATACGATAATGATGACCGAACCGTTTCCCAAGCCCTAAATGTTCCCGATTAATGACGATTTCGTATCAGACTCCAGTCGATCTCTATTGAGATGGGGAATCTCGATAACGCATATCGAACTCAGATCTCGTAATTCAAGTTGAAACAGATTGAAGTAGTTTCTTCGATTTTGTTCGTTTTAATGATGTTTTATTACCCGTCGTAATAGCTGAATATTCTAACGTCTATGTAATATTCTACGTACGATTTGTAACAACTGATGCTAATTGTACATAAGGAAATTTCATTTATGTATGTATTTTATAGATATTAATTTGATAGATGAAATTTTTCAATCTTGATGGCTGGAACATGTTCCACGAGAACTATACAATTTGTCATACCGATTTGGATATCGTTGAATTTCCCAGGTGTCGTCTTTCTTTTGCGGTAACGAGATCCATTTGTCTTGCTATGATCGTCGCCCGTTCCACTGGAATCAAGTCGTCTCTCCTCCTTGCTCTCCGAATCCAGAGTTGATTTATCTTCGGCGCTGCTTATGCCACGCTTAACTTCGCATGCAAAGAATTTAATTACGCTTGTTATTAGTATAATATACAATAATACAGTAAAGTAAGCGGAGGAGGCAAGCTCTCTTTCAGGATTCCTTATACATCAAATGAGGATAAGTTGTTCCATTGTTATTCGTTTTTTGAATGAAACTGAAGGAAACAAACGAACATCAACGTTTGATTTTTGTACAAAATACTCGATGGTTTGTCTCGAACGATTTCATGCGATTTTTCAAGCAATCAAAATGTACGTGCGTTCTGCTCGATATCGATCAAATTGATAAATTTTGCACGTTTTAATTAATATTTTACGAATGAATGAATTGAATGAATTATATTGTGTGATATGAAGAAAAAGTTTTAGGTACTCTTACGATCAATATATTCTATAAAATTACTATTCTAAACATACGTATGTTATTTTGATCTAATATTTCATATTAAAATAATATAAATTTATAATATGTAATATCTATTATGTGAATCTATAATATTATTTTTAGACAGCGATGCAGAACGAAGTAACTGTATTTCTAGTACAATACTAAATTAATTCCATGCATAATTAATTATAATTAAAGCGATTTAGCAAAGATAAACAAATATATACTTACTAATTTAGTAAATTTTACTAAGAGCAATAAAATTTAATATTATTTTCTATAATTTTATAACTGTGATAGTTTTGCGAACTTAATAGTCATTTTGGATAATTTTATAACTAAAGCGTGGTTAGAATTGTTGAGAAAAAATAATAGATATTAATATAATAATAAATTTTAATATTAGTAGTTAATAAACAGTAAATAAATAAGTATAAATTATAAATATATAAGTACAAATATGAATATACATGTATGAATATTATAAATATGAATATAAATATAAGTATAAATATAAATTTAAGTACCAATATAAACATAAATACAAATTTCTTTTTTTTCATAAAACCATGGACTACGATATCTCTGAAGATTCTAAATTCTTATACACCAAGTATATACCCACCGTTTCTATGTTTCTTCGTTAAGTCAGACTCTGTTTCTTCTTCTCCCTTGCTCGAGCGACTTTTCCTCTTTCCATCACGTTTAAGAACTTTTCCTTCTTCATCAAACCTATAAGACACCTTTCTTCCACTATCAAATGCATCTGCCTTCTTCTTCCTCTTTTGTCTACCAGCCACTTTACTCTCGTTTATATCCGCCATTTCGTCCATCTCCTCGTCTTCTTTCTTTCGTGGATTCATCTTACGTCCTCGACCGCTTATTTTCTCGTCGATATCCGTATCGGTTGTTCTTTCAACGTGTTTCTCCGGTTCATTTCCTTCCGGTGTATCTCTGTACAATTTTCTCAGTTTCCTTCCGGTGATTGCCTGAAAAAGACAGATCCCAGCTTCAATGGCCCTGACCTTGGGATGTGTGAAAATGTCTCCTTTCTTAACAAGAAATTATATTTCACAGCTTCTTTCTTTCACAATAGACTGGATTTGTTTTTACATTTTTTAATTTGGAAGGAATTAAACAAAGATATCTACTTTTTTTCTTGTTAAAAATTTTGCAAATTCAGACATTTTTATGTACACTAGGAAAAATTATTTTCACAACTAAATCCTAAAGCATGGATTTCAAAGATCGAAGTCCCTTTCTTAAAATTTAGAATTTAGAACATTACCTCGTAAACTTTTCGAAGCCACTGCGCCGTATGTACATAAATTCTCCTCTTATAATCGAAAATTTAAATCGAGATTTAATCTAAACCTAAATAGCAAATAATTACCGTCTTCCCTTTCGGCGATCTCTCCGAAGTCATCACCGACGTAATTTCCCTTTGTTCTTCCGTTCGATTTCTGGCGAATCTCGAGAATTCCGTATGTTTCATCGGGCCCGAGCTCGAATATTTCACGTCCCTTTTAATTTTCCTCATTTTTCCGGCCGCCGCTCGTTCATCGTTCGTGTCACGTAAACCGCGCGATCCACGGATCTTGTCGAGCTTACTTTTATACGGGACATCGTCACGTTTCTCCCGTCCATCTAGCGTGATAGGATACTCGCCGGTTCTGTCGATATCGCGGCTCCTCTTTATTTTTCCTCTCGTCTTTCCATCCGCCGGCGCACGAGCTGCCGTCTTTGTTAAATCCCTGCCCTCGACTCTGTCAAATTTATCCCTTTCCCGGGCCGACTCGTCGTATCTTTCTACCTCTGTTTTCCTCGAGGATGCTCCAGCTTCCGCGCGACGTGTCTCACTTACCTCGCGGACAGATCGATGCACCATTGTTCGATCGGCACTTTCCCTCGCGTTCTCCTTATGTTCGTCGAGTCTCGCATCTCTGTCGTCATAATCTGTCTCACCTACGGCTCGAGACACTTCCGCGGAAACGTGCGTTCTTAAATCGTCGTCGAACTGTTCGCCTCTCGTCGGCGACTTTGACTTTGCCCTCCAATCGATCGCCTCGTCTCTAGTGGCGTTCTGTTTCGTAACAGAATTGCATTGCATCTTTCCTTCTGCATTGTTCAAGCGGAATTCACACCTTCCTTTATTTATTTTGACGATGATGAGAATGCGAAAGATGAAAATTCGAATATTGTAACTGAATTAGTTCACTACGATTAGATTAGACCAAAAAGTCGAATTGAAAGTTTCAAAATTGAGCAATGTAGAATCTAAATTTTTATGGTTCTCAGTGTCCAATGACTGAGAAGTTAGTACAATTATTCTACGACAGAAATATATAATTAAACTACGAATATGTATATATTTAATGTATACAGTGAAAATATGAAGAGCGATAAGCAATTTACGAAATTTATTTTAATTTTGATTTCATTTTCATTTAAATTTATAACATTGAAAAATTTTTATTGAATATTTAAATAATTATATATATCACTTAAAGAAGCTATAAAAAGTAATTTTTGTGTACGAAATAGTTTATATAAGTTCCACAATTAAACTCCATTAATTTTGAAGCCGCTTTAGCAAGAATAGATGGTACAAATAATCTGAGATGATCAAAATGTCTAATTTATTTATTAAGTGATAATATCTTGCAACTTATTGAATAAATATATATCTGCGTTCAAAGACGAATGCAACTTTAAGATTCTTGATGATTTTAACGAGCAACTCGAAGAATCTTAAAATTAATGGCTGATAAATGCGAATTTTTAAGGAAACTAATTTAGATTCAGATTTAGGTGTTAGAACGGACATAATTAATTTTCGTATCTTGTTTGTTACAGTATCATTCCCATCAAAAGTATAATAGAACTCGGATGAAAAAATTTCTCGATGAATCGTTCGGAATGGCCATTCAAAATAAAAACTATGTATAAATTCCGCTGAAGATTTTGACGAAGTATTGTTTTCATGTAACTGACTGATATCGACTGATGTAGGACCCATTCCATTCGGATGTCGTGAAACTGTTGAGCTTCGTTGCAGCAAAATGTTCCCTAATAAAATAAAATTGTATTCCACATTAGTCTTCTAGTCTTTTTAATTTTCAATTTCTAAAATATATTTCCAAATTTTAAAACAATTAGATCGGTAGCGTAAAAGAAGATTGTATAACAGCTGTTTGTCGTATTTATAAAGTGTCATTTATAAAATATTAAAAAAGGTATTCTGCATTCCATATTTTATATTTTTGATTATTATATGCATTCTTCTTCTGTAGATTGAATAAGTAATATTTTATAATAAATTGAACATTACACCAATAAGTTTGCAATAAATCTAAAATTTCAAAATTTTAAATAGTATTTAAAATTTAAATGAAATTAAGTTGAAAAATTGTTTTATATTAAGTTTAAATATAAAATAGTAATTTATTCAATTTATCAAATGAGTTTAATTGTAACATTACATTGTTATATTATTGTTATTATATATTGTTATATACATATATTATATTATATGTTATACTAAACATTATAATATATGGTTGTAAGCTGTAATATTACAAGTAAACAATTCAAGATTAATATATATAAAATTATTAAATTTAATCATTACCTAAATTTTATTATTTCATTAAACATATTAAATCTGTTTATTGTCTTCATACACAGATCATTCATTGCACTTTGTTAAATTTTGTAATAAGATTAGAGATTAAAAAATAAATTGTTTTTCTAGACAATAAAAGTACATTAGATATATACTAAAATAATATACTAAAGTAAATATTGTAAGTTTGTATTTAAATATATACTAAAGTAAATATTGTAAGTTTGTATATAATAAGTATTGTAAGTTTGTAAATAAGTATTGTAAGATTTGCATAAGAATAAGCTTTCCTATAATTATTAAATTATTAATAATGAATGGAAATGTTCAAAATCTTATTTTAGACTTTCTAATTCTATTTTATTCTCATGATAGGAATAAAATGAAGAAATTAAAATAATAAAGTAGAGTATATTCAATAACATAAATGATATTTATAATTTATTTTTACAATTGAAAAACGATCTCTGATTGATAGAATGAAATTAAAATAATTAATTTTATAAATAACTTATTAGAAGTTGATATAAATTATAGATTTAAAATATTTTATTAAATATTTATTGAATATTTTATTAAAAAGTTCAAGGTGTTTCAAATTTAATAAGATTCAAAGAAATTTATGGAAGTTGAAGAGAATCATTCATTTATTTTTTTTATAATTCTTATTTATGTTTATAGTATCAATAAATTTAAATAAGTATACATTTAGTTTTTAAACGTAATTTGAAATCATGAATTATTATTATTATTACTTTGGAAATAATATAGAAAAAATATGAGATTTAGAATAAATCATTTTCAAATAACTCCTCGCCTGAGTAAATCCAATTTTTGATAACAAATAATAATAACATAAAAATTACTTGAAATCTTATATTTTTGATGCAATGTTGACACACAAAGTTGAGAAAATATTTGAACAGAAATTTACTCAAAAATAAAGCAAAAAAATATAAAAGAATGTAAAACAGAAAAAAATAAAATAGCCAAATAGTGAAATAATTTAAAGAGGAATTATTAACGCACAATTATTTCGAGTAACACTTATGTCAATAAACAAATCATTCAATTCATCACGTTTGAAATATAGGTACCACTTGAATAATGTTCAAGTCTAATTCAGACAGATAGAAAGCCTTCTTTACTGCTGAAATTATTACGTACCCACTGTCGACTGGTCTCACTGACAACACGATCGCAAAACCGGCATATCTTCAGACAGGGTCGTGTCCCACACCTCTTTTCACTCCAATCACGAATGAAATTATTCGCGAGATTTAGCGTCAGTTTTGCTTGCGTATTGGCGAACGGTTCTGCAACGACCGGCGTCAATATAAATTTGGTAAAATCCGAGAACTCGCATAATTAATACCAGCTTCATTAGTAAACCTCGTAAACTCCCGTTAACTGCTCGAGAAATTTTCCCGATTTCAGTTGCATTTCTTTCTTTTGTTTTTTTTTTTTCTTCACGTTCACGAGAACTTACAACTTAGGCTTAACACACATCGTTAGCACATCGATTCGTCAAAAATTGAAAAATATTACCTTCCAGAGTAAGTTGGCAGGAGCAAATCAGCTTCTTCATTATTTCTTTCAAAAGGAGAGACAACATTCGAAATTTCTTCGACATGCCTAAACTCTCCAAACTGCATAAGACATTCTTTATGTGACGTACTATGTCTTCGATGGCGCAGCATCTTTGCAAACACGCCAGAATTACGTCCACCTATTTGCAACAAGGGAATTTTAATTACATTGTAATTGTATTCTTGTATGACGATATCATTATTACGTTTTTTTACTGAGTTTAACTATTTCGAATTAATAGAACTGTTGTGATTCTAAAAAGAACATGTTATTTTGGCTTCTCCAAAAAATTCATCTAACGATTAACATCTGATAACCTAATGTGATAAATTTATTTGAATAGTGGATATAATTAATACCAAAATCATAATATTTAACAATCTGCCAAAATTAATATTTTTCTGATTGATAAAAGAGACATTTAATTGTTATTTTGTAAACAACGTATCACATGATGCCAAAAATCGAAAGTCCGCAAACTCTCCAATTAATGATCATAGTAAAAGAAGTATTATATTAAATTATTACTCTGCGAGCAATTTCTTTCAATTAATGATCGCAATGAAAGCAATATTTAATTGTTATTTTACGAGTGATATACTAAATGAAATGAAATAGAGTGAAACGAAAAGGTAATGTTTATACGCTTTTTAATTAACAACTGCAATAAGTGAATAAATTTCATCGTTACCTGTCGAATAATTTTTTTTGATAAAATTTCCATATGCCAGTCGTTATACATTTTTTTTTTTTTTTCAATGAGTAATTGTAATTAACAATATGCAAAAATTGATACTCTAGTTTTAATTCTAATTTTAATCAATGACTGCAGTCAAAATGGTGCATAGTTATTTTACGAAGATAATACATTAAATGATATGAAAAGTTGACATTTGTTGATATTTTTAAATTAATGATTGTGTAAATGAAGGCAAAGAATTTCTTCCGAAAGAATTATATAGTAAGAATCACACATTTTTCGTTCAATGATTATAGCAAAAGAAATATTTAATCGCTACTTTGCAAACAATGTATATTAAATGAAATTAATGATTGCAGTAAAAGAAATATTAGAAATGAAAGAAATATTTTATAAAGAAAGAAAAAATTTAATTACAACTATGTGAACAATATACTAAATATTATAAGAAATTAATATTATAACAATATACCAGATTATATAAAAAAATTGTATATTTCAATTAATCAACATATTAAATGATTGATATTTATACAAAAATTTCAATTAATAATTGCAATAAAACAATTTACTCGTTACTTCGCGAACAATCGCACTAAACGAAGCGATCTGACTCTTATTTTATCAAATATCAACAGGCCTGCGTAATAATAAAAATAATTAATCATTCAAGAAGTATTTAATCACTACTTTTCGGATAATGTCTTCCGGGAACACCGGCGTATCTTGACAGCGAGCGCAAGGGAACATATCACGAAACATTCCAGGCTGTTGAGGTCCCTTTTTTAGCACGTTTCCGCAGATTATTGATGCCATTGCCGTGGCCACAATGTCCAGTGCTCCGTGCAAAGGGACCGCGTCGTAATTTATGCCGCAGCATTTGCCCGCGTGGAACCTGATTTTTCAGATACAGTTACTCCATAACTTATTTCCTGCATGCCCGCGGACCGTGCCCAACACGTTCTATGAAAATTATCTGAAATTAAGCTGACTGCCAGACGAACTTGTTGTAGAAGTCCATAAAACTTTTTAGCAAACGATGAGCTCTTATGAAGATCTCCAACGCTCGCGTTGACCATTCCCATTGGTCCTCGGCCAATCGTTGTTCTCGATAGTAGCAGAACTTTCTGCACGGCATCACGAATTTCTCGAACCTGGACTGTATAATGGACTTTTTTTTTTTTTAATCGATCTTTGTTAAGTATTATTAAATCGACTAATTTCGATTTAAGTTGGATTGTGCAATGAATTTCTGAAGTGATGATGTATAATATTTTTTCGTGAATAACGATTGCATTTTTTCCTCGATGTGTTTTATGAATATAGAACGATCAAAATGAATAATTTTGCAGGATCAAGTTTGTAGGAAAATTTAGAACCAGTCAATGATAAGTATTTTGGTTTTCGAGTAGCAATTTTACAGGCCGTTGAATTAAAATCATTCTTTATTTTACACGATTTTAGCAAAATTGAAGGTAATTTGATAATAAATTTCATAACCTATTAATACGTATATTGTTTTATGAATTTGTATTTATTTTTTATTACATATGTTTCGACACAGTATTGCACAATTAATAATTTTGCAATATTGCAAATATCAATAATTTCTTCTTTCCTTTCATTACAGTATATAACGCACAGTATATATTTCTTGTAATACGCATTTTTAAAGATTCAAATGAAGAATTTAATATTTAGGTCTTGTAATTAGTGCTGAGTAAAATATCATTGTTACTCTACTTTTATATACTGATTATTATTCCATTTACACATATTGATACTCATAATTTAAAAATATGTCAAACACATGTTTTACTTTGAAACGACGAAAGGTTATACACACCTAATATGTAAAAGATATTAGAATTCTAGAATCATCTTATTTCAATTACTTAATTATTCCAGAAGCTCGAGATGTATTGAACAATCATGCGCGATTTAATTTCCCAACGAAGTGTAAAAAAAAAAAAAAAATACTTTTTCTCTAGCAGCAACAAATAAATTTAATATCAATAAACAACAGTGTTCGAAATTTTTTGAAAGAAACGTTATTCTAAATTACCTGAATTGAAACAACCCTTGTGATTTATCTTCTGACCTTCTACCTTCAATGAAAAAGAAATTTAAACTGCACGTATAATTGCTCGATAGATCAAACGAATGTTGGACATTCGCCGAAATGATCACTTTTCGGCGTACAAACCCGGCTGCCTTTGGTAATTTTCGATAATTCTGTAGCGTGCAGCAAATCACTTTCAAGAATCAATCCATTTGTTTCAGCTGAACCCGACATCAATCGCCGCGGTAAATCATCAACCCCCTTGACGCTTTTCATCGCATGACGGTTGACATGTAACAACTGACATTCGTCATGTCGCGCAAATGTACGTGTAGTAGGCGGGACACATCGATATTTTATACTGTTTTCGTATCAATGCTCGCACAACACGTTCACGTTCGAGAGTATTTCCTTCCATCTTTGGAACGCGCGTACGAGTTGCTGATAACAGCCTTTATGTTCGTTCCGAGTGGAATGATAAATTTTGTCGACGATAAGAAGGAAGTTGTATGGAGAAGATGATGGTTTTGTAAATTACACACATGGTGTCTCAAGTTTTATACTTCAAGTGAAAAAGAAAATTGTTCAACGCTTCATGAAGAAGTTACACGGAATTCGAAGGGAACAATTAAGCGATATTTGCTGCATTTATTATTCGCAGTTATTATTCGATAAAATCATACTAATCGTGTAATCAGTTAATACTTATTTAAAAAAATTACAATTTACAACAATGATATTATGAATATAGTCTTTCCATCGTCGAACTCTTCTTTCGTGAGTTGCAATGTAAGAACAGTGCAATTCATCTTTGTCATCTTTTTCGTTGGATAACCGCGTGAAGGATCTTTTAGGGATCGCGAACATTCTGACAGTTTTATTCTCCCTTATTTTCTTTTCTTCTCCCACATTTATTTCCACTAAAGTGAATTCTACCATCGTGAATATGTAATGCTTGCAATGGCCTCTGATCTTCTTTTTTTTTATTGCTCATCATAACTATGTAACAATAGGGTTTACTCCGTTGAAAAAGATATAATAAAATAAAATAAAAATAAAATATAGGTAGAAATAATGAGAACGTTCACGATAAAGAAAGAAATAATACGTTATATTATAAAGAGTTAATTATATTCATAGAAAATTTAAGCACAGTTGTTACGTTTAGAGCACTTCTAAATTCATTAATAAATTCTTAAATTCTGCTAATTGCAACTAATGAAGAAAGTGGCTTCGTGCTTGTAAATTCAATTACACGTTATTCGTTCAAAGAAATGTTTAAAGTCCATTTCCACACGTGTGATATGTCGCGTGGAACGGGTATGCTCTTCTTGTTTTAGGCTAAAATTCTACAATAAAGAGGAATACATTAGGGACCTGAAACGGTCTGCTCGTAGTCACAACGAAGATGAATTTACATTAAACGTACAAGTAAATGTATTTTGTTAATTGTATAATTAAATTCCATGATTCGTTAATCAAAAAAAAAGAAATTTTATGCATGAAAGTTTTTATTTTTAAAGTACAGCAGATGTATAATATCTTATTTGTACCTTTGATTTTTTAAAATTATAAAAGTAATATGAAAATATTACATTACATTAATATGTTAAATTAATATATAATATTAGTATGTTAAATGAATTTCATTTTAATATATTAACGTATTAAATATTGTAATAGATAAATTTTATGTTTTTCACTGCAGGTATTAGAAATTGAATAGAATGAAATTTAATAGTATTTATCACTTGTTTAAAATGTTATTTTAGTAAATAATATTTGTATATTAAGTACAAAAATACACTCTACCAATTTTCATTATATAATATATATAATATATATAATATAAGAATCTTGTTTCCATTACGTTATTCAGTCCACTTTCAATTTCATTTAAATTAATATTTATAAACAGACGTACATTTCCATATTTTACCAATATTTTATTTTTGCTCGTTTTCGAGCAATTCTTACAGAATTCGAATTTCTTACATGAACAAGTGTTCAAACATTTTCGTGTTGTTTTTATCACATTGTTTCATTCACTTTGAATTTCCCAATTTCTCATTCCCGACATTTTCGTCGCTCCGTCGTATTTTCAACATTTCCGTATTTCTCGCGTCGTTATATATTCAGGCCAACTGGATGGGGAAAAAAAGACAAACAAAAAGAAGAAATCGCAGCAGCTAGATAAATTAAAAAAACATACCAAGTTGTCGCGATCATCTTGCTATGTTGTTGTATTCTACTCGACAACTTTCGAGACGAATAACAAATCGCGCGGCTAAGTGGGAAACTTCCGGTATTATTTTCTCCCTTCTTCTTCTTCTTCTTCTTCTTCTTTTTTTTTCGTCACTCACACTGATTACGAGAAAAAGAATGCGGGATAGACTGCACTTGTGTGTTTTCTAAAAAGTTCTTACGCTGCTGGATATGATTTATCTGTCGCCAAACAGGATGCTGCACTTTCACGTAGCAACAAACCTAACTGCAATATCCATTTGAAAGCTGGAATGTGGCAAGTGAAAGGGAGAGTCCGGCGAAATCGCTGTTTTGGCTAAACTTTCGCGAATGAAAGAAAACTATGATTGAAAAGTGGGAGGAGAATTCGATGGATTGTGATTCATTTGATAATATAATTCATTTACACATACTTTAATCATACTTTATATAAGTATATAAGTATATACAGAAATGCACGTGATAACTTGTAAAAGGAATTATTTTTAGTTTACGCTTGATTGGAATTTAAAAGGACCGAGGTAAATCAATTATTAAATAATCTTGTTTATATGTAATAAAATCTGTAGTACCCTTTAAGGGCTCACTAATACAAAAAGAAATTGCTTATTCTTTCTTATCATACTACAGCTTTTCTCCTTTCATTGATCTATAAATTTATATAAAGTATGTAAATATTAAAGAACTGACAAATGTAACCACATACACAGAGCCACGCGTTGATCTTGTTACCTGAGTATTATAAATGTTATAAAAATTCAAGAATATTTCATTAATCGTGTTGGTTCAACTTTGCAACTACTGGGGAAGATCTAAAAAGATCAATAAATTCTACAAAGCAGAACGCGATTACCATCATATCGAGACGAGAATTCCCATGTAGACCTTGCTTCGTAGAAACAGTTGCAAGATTGCATAAATGTTCGCAGTCTGCTGATCATTCTGCCACTCCTCATTTGTATTCTATCTCCAACCACTTATTCCACTACTCTCTCCTTCTCTCCCGCGTTTACTCATTGCTTCATATTTCCCGCACTTATCTCCTCTGCATCGAGTCGATATTCTTGCTCGCACTCGCTCCGCGAAGTAGGATTGGTCGTAAGACGGCGCGTCGCGGAGAAAGTTAGCCACGATTTACGATAGTCCTGCAGGAACACGGCACTGCGAACGAAGCGTAGCATCGTTCTATATATATATATATATCTGCGAGCAGTTATTAATATAACATCGCGACACGAAATATTAATATCGCCGTCGTGTGGAAGTGCAGCAGCTCGGTATGCGTCATATGAGGTGCTTTCTGCCCCTCCGTGCAATAATCGTGAGAGGTAACGAAGCGGGTCTACGCGGCAGCATGCGAGGGATGGAACAATTTCCCACCGTAGGAATTTAAATATTCCACACTTGGCCGGTTTTTTAAGTCGAATGACACCGCCGGCAACGAGGGAATTCTGAAATTTCACTCTCCGGCTCCTTTCCATCGAGCGGGATATTCGAAGTCCCGAAAATTTCGTTTCTTCCTCGACAGAGATTTAAGATTTATATACACGCGAGTTATTTGTTCTAATTTAGTGCAAATAAAACTGAAAGATTATTACGAAGATCAGCTGTAAAAATTGGTAGTATTGTAATCCAAAGTTTCCCACGAAAGTATCCGCTCAATAATAGCTCCACTATGTTCCACGAATATCGTTTGCAATTAGTTTCCTGCGATAACGGCGATAGCGAAGAGACATAATTCCTCGAGGCGTTCGTCTCAATTATCACATTGTCGCGCAGTGGTCGCGCTTCCCCGTTGAAGGAAGATCGTAATTAGCGAAATTTTCTCGCGAGTTTAAAGCGTTATCCTGATCAAAGAAACACGGGGACACGGCCCCGTAATTACAGATAAATTCATATTTAAAGAATGCGTTTAGGCAGAGCATAGATTGTCGGCCATTGCCGTTGGTGAGGGAGGGTCCTTTGAGAATGATTCGCCCCGGATCTTTCGCCAATTAATCGCGACGGAGCACACTTATAAAGGAAGAACCGGTCGTCACTCGGCCCGAGGCCGAGGGTGTTCATCCAGTCGTCCTGAAAGCGCAGAAATTCCGTGCCGAACCCCTTTGAGCTTCGCTTCCCTTCCTGATTACAGGTATCTATGTCTCTAGGTGTGTTTAATCGACGCGTGAAATGGTAATGTAAACGGACATCGCCTCCGATTGAACGTAAACGTTGCCTCTTCGCGGGGGAAAAATGGCGAAATGGCACCATTTCTTTGTGGACATTTTATTCGTGTATTATATCCTCTCAGTTTTCTTAATTGTTGCAGGTTTACTTGTACATTTTAGGAAATGAGAAGGGTTTCTAACGCTTTAAGGGGGACGTTTAATAACTATAAAATTTAATCGAGGAATTATATATGCTGGCAGGCTTTGTTCAAAACTTGAGATACTTTTGTAAAGTACAGACAAGTCGAAGATGGTAGGGCGAATTATTTTAGGGATGAATTTATTGAGGATAGAAAGAGACGATCTTTAAATGGTTTTAAGCGGGTACTTTTTAAGAAATTTGAATGACTTTTTAAAGCATATAAACGTAGGTGTATTTTACATATAATTTATAAAATATATTCTTTGTTCTATCGTAAAGTTCAATTATAAAGGTTTTCCTATTTCTTTTGTAAGTTTCATATTTTAACCATCAACAGCTTCGTTTTTTATAGTTATATATAGATAGCTATTGCAGAATTAATATTTTTATGTTAATTTAGTATTTGATATATGTATATATATAAAACAATAATAATCAATATATAATAATTATATATTATATAATAATAATCAATATTGTTTAAATAATAATTAATAAAATATTTCATGTAATAAAGTTTTTATATTGTAATACTATAATGTATGTGGAAATCTATTATGATATTATAAATATATTTGTTTATAGATGTATAACTATTTAATTGTACACTTCAAGATTTATAGATAGTTTTTGTGAAATTAATATTCTTGTATGTAAATATGTATCCATATTAACATAAT